TTTCAGAATTCTGGAGGCAGATGTCGTCATAGCTGTTGTTGACGCGAGTGGTGCTGATGGGGATACGAATTCGATTTTAGCTGAACTTGAGGTGATTCCGTTGAGGAACTCGAAACTGATCCAAATTGGGATTGTTTTCTAGAAGGCTCCTTTTCGTGGCCGAGTATTCCGCTCTCGTATGATCTTAAAATATGCCCTCCAATTCCTTGGTTTAATGATTCCTCGATCTAGGAACTAGCTGTGACATCTCTGCCGGTCATAGTCGTTAGGAATAAGTCGGACCTGGCACGAGGCAGAAAATTCGATGAAATCAAGTCAACAACTCGATTGGATATTGTCGATTGTATAGAAACCTGCGCTCTCAATTCAGAAGGTTAGTTGTTCCGACTTATTTCTTGTCTGCACCTATCGTAACTGAGCGAGCGAGCTGAAGTCAGGAAATTGGCTGATGTATGTTTATGTTTGGAGTCTACAGGGGCTTATTAGGAACTTGTCTTTTGTAGTATGCAGGAGCACTATCACACGCGTGGTTCTGAAGTTCGAACCCCGGCTTGCTACTCGCCCAGACCGAACAAACTTTCCATTACACCAAGATTCGCTTAATTGGTACCAGAATCGTCTGGGAGAATAAAAGCGCTGACTTGTGAATCAGCTGGCCACGACAATTTATAGCATAGGCCACTACAGCTCAGAGTGGGAGTTGAATTCGGAGAGGATTGTTAAAACGCCAAAATGTTGTCCTTCCTTTTTTATTAATTTGTTGAACAACTAGTGAATCTTCAGGTACCCGATCGTTACAAGATTCCCTTGAGAGACTGGTGAATACTCTATGTCCAGATGATAGTGGACCGTGCATGACGGATACGAAACTGATAAGGTAAGAAACGTAATCGTTGACTTCAAAATCTCATTTCACCTCCTTCAATAACAGAGGTTACAGTAATTAATCATCCGATATAAAACAGTTGTACCAGTTTAGAAAAGTAATTCATTGTAGAGATATATTAACACAAACGCCTTACTGCTTCATAGACCTTGCCCTTCAGGAGCCTTCCCCATGGAGTAGCTTTTCCGATGAAATACACTTATATGACAGGCATGGGCGGGAAGCCTTAATTTGTATCCGGGACAACTCCGCCCACTACTTCGGGAGTGCACTAGCTTGAAAAAGGTGTCCATTCCCCGTTAAGACATCAAAAAGGAAATTTTTGATTTGTTTTTTTGCTTCTACTTTTTTGTTTTTTTTTCTATTTTTTTATCTTTGCAATTAATCAGTTT